TTATGGCAAAACAAAAACTAATTTCTGCCATTATTTGTTTAGTTGAAGACTTACCATGAGCGTAGATAAAGCATCATTTAAATGATTTATACATTATAAAGAACTAGAAGATCTGATCATTCATTGAATGAAAATGTTGCATGTGTATACTTCGATGAAAATAGAAAGCTTATAATTTATATAATATTTAATTCAGATCTGGAACATGATACATCTGTGAAATCTAAATTACACAGGCCTGTGAATTTACTTCATAAAAGCAGTTTTGGTTTTAATAAAGGATTTTCCATAATTCAGGTACACAGATTTCGAAAATAATATTAATTTTGTTCTATCACGTAAGTATTTTTTACAAATCGGGAAGAAAAAAAAACTTACTTAGATCAAATTATTATTTCGTTTACCACAATGAACATTTTTGTTATTATGTTTGGGTTCTAGAACGATCGTTAAGACTCACGTCGCCATTGGTCTAGAGAAATCTATAGCTAGTGGTTGACAACATTTTAAACATAACAAAATGTGACCCGATTTTAATGAAAATGATTCACTTATGTAAAAGTACATGTGACGTTTTGTGACAAATCTGTACATGATGAAGAAAAATGGATATTATTTTCGGATTTAGCGGACAAGAATTACTGTAGAACATGTAAAAATTTCAAGACAATAAAACCACTGCAGGTCTGTGTTATCAATTGTAACAATAAACCAAGTAATGATATGAACCAGTACCAAATATACTGGCACAGAGGTTAACAAGAAGCAGCTAAAGGATCCATATATATAATTTGGGCATTGCTTTCTATCCAGATGGCTAAAACAGGATTTTCACAGACCAGTGAATATAACACAGGAACACGAACCACAGATATTTTTATAGCCAGTCAGAGATATGAGAGGGCGTCTATAAAGTCAATTCAACCTACCAAGCATGGATCATATAGTACCAAACTATCAAAGTCTCTGAGACCTGTTCAAATATTACTTAACACTTGGGAGGGGGTTATCCTGTCACAGAAGGAGTATCTTTAAACGGGATATAAAATTTTAATTAGCTTAAAAATCTTATTTATGGTAAAAACACGAACATCTTTTAAATTCAAGGCTATATTAATGATGGTTGTATAACAACATTGAATTTGGTATCATGTTTTTCATTTCATTATCGTCCAATTTCACTGCATTTAAGGCACTCTTGAATTAATCCATAATAATACATGAATTTATTCTGAACAAGAAACGAGATTTTGAGGTATTTGTGGAATACAAATGCTAAGTATATTAAATATGTGAAGGTTTTCAAGAAGTACATTTTTATTTTATAACGTATATCGGCCAGACTTTCTTAAGTGTCCATTTTTCAACTATAAAATGTTGAAAAAATCTTCTCCTATATATATGATTTATAAAGTTATTGAAAATATAGCCACTAAAAAACCTTGTACCAAAAATCTATCCCTCAGACTACATTCTGTCATAGTTTTCTACCTTGATGGAGATTACTAAAAAAGGCAAAAAGCAAACAAATGGTAAAAAGTTTTCCCTTCTGCTGTCTTTTTCTGTGAATATGAAAGAGCAAATATGTTTGGGGTGGAGAATTCGAATCCGCGCCCCCTCAGATTGTAATTCAAGCGCTCTGACCATCCGGCTATGCTCGACCTCTGAAGTAAAAGAGAAAACGTAAATGAGTCATACTTATTTGTAGTACAGTTAGCGTGGTATTTCTGTTGAAACGTAAGTCATTTGTAAACGTGATGTACAACTTACAAAGCCTGTAAGAAATGTTAAAAAAGAAAATAAAATAATTTGATATGGTCACATGGAATGCACGTTGAATTATTTTCACCAGATAATTTAAAAGAACTCGCTAACGAGAGAAAAGCTACTACAGTGATGTAAGAAGTGGGATTATTGTGGCAAAAATATAATAGAACTTTGATTGAACTTCAGCGTTCATACAAGATGACCACAAAAACACAGGATAAGATGTAGAACCAGCTAAATATGATAAAACAATGGAAATAAGAACAAACAGGAAGATGCAGAATATTTAAGAACAAACAAGAAGAAAGAAAAAGAAAATAAGAAGCAAGAGATAGAATATTAAAAGTGGGACAGAACATTAAAAAACGTGATAGTAATTTAATTGTTTTCTTTTGAATTTTGCGCAAAGCTACACGAGGGCTATCTGCGCTAGCCGTCCCTAATTTAGCAGTGTAAGACTAGAGGGAAGGCAGCTAGTCATCACCACCCACCGTCAACTCTTGAGCTACTCTTTTACCAACGAATAGTGGGATTGAACGTAACATTATAATGCCTCAATGGCTGATAAGGCGAGCATGTTTGGTGGGATGGGGATTCGAACCCACGACCTACAGATTGCGAGACAAGTGCCCTAACCACCTGGCCATGCTGGGCCTAGTAATTTATTGAACAATTTAAAAGAAAGTTTGGTAAAGCGACACAAGGGTATGGTATCTGCGCTAGCCTTCCATAATTTAGCAGTGAAATACTAGAGGGAAGGCATCTAGTCATCACCACCCACCGCCAACTCTTGGGCTACTCTTTTACCAATGAAAAGTGGGATTGACCATCACATTATAACACCCCATGGCTGAAAAGGCGAGCACCCTAACTATCTGGCCATGCAATACATGGTAATAATTACACCAGAGGTTAAACTTCATGTAGCTATTGTTTCACCGAGAAATGATATACTCATACAAGACTTGTTAAAATTAATTTACATATAGTGACTGGATCATAATGGAACGAAAAACTCCAGCATGTCCTAATGGACTAATGGTTGAAAGAACTATCGTCGATTTGAAGAATAAATATCTCATTATTAGGGCTATGAACATCAGAAAATGTGAAATCAAGATCTTCTACACACTGATAAATTATCATACAGTACCACATGAACCGACTAGTAACACCATCATTACTGACGTTCGAGAGAGAACTTAAAGTGCTAGTGAATCTTCTGTACTCTTCTTGTCCAGATAATAGTCACTCAGGAAAGTCGTGTACAGAATATGTAAAGAGATGAAAGAACATCATCGATGTCATACTTGACTTTACCTGAGAAAGAATACTTAAATCAGCTTATGGTAAAATGAAAAGACCCTATGATGTTAATTGTAATAAGACTAGATTCTATTGAAGTAACATGATATGGCTGTACAATCTCTGGCATAAGAAAGGACGAGCTCCAAACTACAAATGATCAATTATATGGTTTACAGAATCCAGAAGGATAGGCGATCCAAACCAAATTTTAAGTCATCCAACATGATCATCTTTGAAAATATTGTTGCGTCAGCGAGTCACATGACTACAGTGACGCCACGTTTCTAGAACTATCCCGTATCTTGGCGAATGCTCTAGTATTTGCTAGATATAGCGTAGTTTGGTATATATAAGAGGGGACAACGTGACGCGAGAATTAATGTAATGTGTGCGTAGATAGTGAGTAATTGAACTGCAGTCAGAAGTATTATTGAGCACGTTCGTCGTTATAGCGTTTGTTTAGCGCGATTGTTGAAGTTGAGTGTGTCGGTAAAGTTGTATTCTAAAAGAATAAACCAGTTTTTATCAAGAAAGAACTTGTGTCGCTTAAGTTTCGTCGGAACGAAGTTACGGAAAATCAATTAACAAACGGAGACGTAACAATATGTTTGTGAGAGGATCGCCAACTGGGTAAATTCAAAGAAGAAAGTAACAGCATAAATCCATCCTACAGAGCACCTCAGAGTTCCTGTCAAGACTACTTCCATATAATTAGCAAGGATAGAGCTGCACTCGACCACCTAGCCAGGACAAACTTCCCCATTGACAGAACAACCAGTGAATGACAATAAAAGACAAAATATTGTTACGTCTCCGTTTGTTAATTGATTTTCCGTAACTTCGTTCCGACGAAACTTAAGCGACACAAGTTCTTT